TGCGGTGGCTTCGGCGGCAACGGCCGCCGGCGCGCTGGGAGCTGCGGCCGAGGCAGGAGAGGCGGCGGCGGTCGAGGCAGCCCGGGACCCCTCTCTCCGGCTCGTGGCTCCCACCACCAGCGCCGGACCCCGAGCACTCCCAGGCGCGCGCGCTCCTTCTGCAAAAAGTTGAGGGCTCTCTCTCAACTAGTTATCAGGGTGTCATATGGGTGACATCACTCCCCTGGCCAGCCAATGGTTGGCGGCCGGCCCCGCCCCTCTTCCTTTATTAACTCGAAGTCTCCGCCCCCTCCGCCCCGCCCTCTGGGCTGCTTTGCAAAGATGGGGGTTGGGGGGGAGAGGAGGCATGTCTAGAAATATGTTCTTTAAAAAAAAATTCGCGTGTGTGCACAGATGCACCGCGCCCCGGGATGCCCGGGAGCGGCGCACAGGCCCGCGGTGAGCGGGTTGTCTCGAGGAGCACCCGGCCCGTTCGGGCGCCAGCGCCAGCCGCGGACCCGGTGCCGGGAGGGGCCGGTTGCCCCTTTGTGCCCTGTCCTCGGGAGGCCCGATGGCGTGCGTGGACGGGGCGCGCCCACCCCCCGTGTGCACACGCTCGGACACGCGCACCGCCGGAGATGGCCGCCTCGGCCCGGCTCGGTGGTCTGCAGAGCCCGGCCCGCCCCGTGATGGGCGCCGCAGCCGCCCGGCGCGCCCCCCGGGGGCTCAGCGGCTCTCCGGCGCCGCGGCCCGAGCCCGCCTGCGAGGCGGACGGAAGGTGGCGCTTCGACACAACTGCCTTCTCCGGGCACGTGGACTCCGGTCTCCGCTTCCCTTTCTCCACGGCAAAGAAATCGGTTTAAGGCCCGAGCGGCTGGCTCTCCCTTCCTGCTTGCGCTCCTCCGTTTCGTCCCTTTTCTCCGCTGTTTTTCCTCCGCGGTAGCGTTTGGAGACGTCGTCCTGCAGACTCAGCGGCGCGCACCCCTCCGCCCCGCCCCTGGCGGGGGCCGGAGTAACGGACTGCGGGGCTTGGCCCGGCCGGGTCCTCGCGTTCGATGTGGCCACTCCCGAGGCTGGGTCTACGCGGTCCCGGGACCAGCGGGCTTCGGCACCTCCAACCCCATCCCAGGAGTCCTTCGCGAAGGGCCTGGCTCGGGCTCCCCCGGTTCCCTCTCCTCTCCCGCCCCCCGTCCCTCACCCTCCCCCCTCCGCTCCTCCCCCGGCTCCCTTTCTCCTTCCCGAGCCTCCTCTTCCTCTTTGTCCCTCCCCTTGCCGCGGTGGCCGGCGCCCTCCCTGCAGCCTCGTCCTGCAATCCCGCAATTGCCAGCCGGCAAGCCTTCTGGGTCCCTCGCTGTTGTGCCTGAACGGCGTCACCCAAAGAGAACATAAGGTGCCGAAGAGTGTCGAGTAAAAACATTTCTTAAATAGGTGAAAAGATGGGACGCACGGCTGTTGGAACAGCGACGCCTTGAGCAGGCTGGGCTCCGCAAAGCAGCCCCGGACCCCGGGGGTCTAGCTGGGCGACTTCCAAACCCGTCTTTGTGTTTCCTTCTTGAGTCTTCGTTCCCCATCTATGAATGTTCTGGGGGCAATTAAAGAAACCCGCCGCTTCTTACACATTGTCTGTCGTCATCCTTGTCTTCCCCACACCCTCCCGCGCTGGGGATCCGGCAACTTTCAGTAGTTCCAAGACGCTGCCTGGAGTCATTCGCCAGAGCGCTCAGCTAGCTGCTCGAGACTAGTACAATTATCTGAACCTGCTTCTTTTCAGGTGCCCTCCCCGCAAATAATTCCTTAAGAACTGGATCCCTTCCTGAGGACTTTAATGTCCTAAAATGGTACCATGTTTTCACAGATCCTTATTTGAAAAAATTACCGCCGTCCCTCTACCCCTCCCCTCCCCCTCTCATCCTCAAGAAAAACACTGCATCAAACGTTTGTGATATTCACGCCAATGTAAATCTTGATAATGCTGGCGAGTTACTCTTCTTAGGACCATCAGAACCGAAAGACTTCACAGTCGTTCACACTGGGTGACTTGAAGTCTGGAGAGGTCTAAAACCCAAGGCAGTGTGTGAAAATGTATCCTCACTCCCCGCAAGGCCAGCACGGTGACTTGTTTTTCTCTTAACTCAAACGTTTCCCAGCTATTGGGAACACCACGGGAGGGAGGGTGGGTTGGAGCAAAGGGTAAATGTCCACCCCTCTCCCCACAATGCAGGGCAAATCCACACTCTAGTGGAGGAGTTAAAATATTTTAGCTCAGCTGCGTTATTTGCATGCAAAGTATGAGGGTATCTACCATTTTAGACTCTGAAAGAGAACCCTTTGGCAAATTCCGCATTTATTTGCTTCCTTTACACTCTAGCAAAAAAATCATGCTTAGCTTTAAAATAAGAATGATCTGAGGATAGTAGGACTAAAAAAATGATGAATTGCATTCTTATAAGGCTGTGATCTTTTTAGAGAAAATATAGATTAAAATCTACTCTTTCAAACAATAAACAATTTCTGTTCAAAGATGGGTCATTTGTTAGAGAAGATAAAGCCAGCGAAAGGGACATGTTTTTTAGTGTGAGGGTACAGGGACTGAGCATAACAAGGAGAGTGGCTTGGTGAGTTTGAATAAACACGTTGCAAAAATTGGGGGTGCTAGGCAGAAACTGCAGGTGCGCATAGACAACACAGCAGATTCGCCCCCCCCCATAATATAGGCAAGGCAAGACAGTTGTCACACACATACAGAAAAGCTAGATTGCTGTTTTGTAACATGAACTCACCCTACATATTTAATGCTACCAGACTTAGTAAGAGCTTGAAATGAGGCAAAAATAATAGTAATAATAATAATGAATCTGCATACTCTTTTATTTTTTATTTTTTTGCTCTCTAAAGGAAAAATTTTAAGTACAATATCAAACAAAAATGGGAACATGTTTGGGACCTGCATGCTTCTTTCAGAAACAATACTTTACTTTTGCATAACAGATGCTTGTGGCATCAGCAGTAACAATCTATTGAAATTTTAGACTACCTGATAGAATTTGATCTTTAATAATGCACCTCTTGAAAGCCTAATTTAGTAAAATGGAAATGTATCTGCTATTGTTTAAACCACTGGGTTTATATTATAATTAGGCTCACTGATCATCTTTTTAAAGCTGATATCAACTTCATTTTTGTGTAACTATGTACTGAACAAGATATGCAGTTTTTCTATTAATGATAAACATTGTTGGCTACATAATTAGTGTTCAGAGTCAAGAGTCACATTTAATTAGAGCCACAAATGACTGCATTTTTAAGGTTATTATTATCTCTTTCCAATTCTGTCTTTGCAAAAAATTGCTTAAAAAGACTATTACATAAGGAGGTAAGATATTTGCACCAAATCTCTCAAAATTATAACACAATCAGAATATGATGCGTCCCTTTCTCCTCTGAAGAGGTAGTTTTCTAAGCAAATAATGTGCTAAAAACATCATTTGGTAAATATTTGATTCATGTGATGGCACATCATTTTTAGAAGCATTTCAACTGTACGTATTCCCCCACCTCTGAAATGAAGTCATGCAGTAGAATCTTTTTCTCCCTTAACCTAGTCTCTGGAAATGAGTTCACCACTCATTGTTCCACAATATCTATGTATATTTGTTTCAGGCCTAAATCCTGAGTTTGCATCTGAATATCTCCTGTCTACTGGACATTCCTTCTTCAATGTCCCTCAGATGTAGTAATGAGTATAAATTGAACAACCCTACCTTGAATAAACACACAAGCCCGTCACACACACACACACACATGCACGCACGCACGCATGCACTACTGTTCTTCATGTATTCTCCTAACGTAGTACATCGCATCACTATGTACACATTAATAAAAACAAAGATGAGGGTCCCATCTCAGAGTCTTCATTGCATGCACATAAATGGAAATTCTGAGGTCTCCAGCAGGTGAATATCTGTGTCTCAGAGTAGATCGCACCCACCAAGGCTGGTGTGATCTGACTTCCGCCCGGCTCTCCAAATCTGTCTTGCTGTGTTTTTCTCACTGTGCTTTAGGGCTTTCACATTTTATCCTATCCATCTAGAACTTCCTCTACACCTGCTCTTGACATTTGCAACTCTTTCATTGCCTTCTGAACTCAGGTGCAAAGCTGAGAGACCTCTCCTGTGCAGCGTGTTTAAGGGAGTGCTGCTTCCTCCTGCACCACCAACACACACATACTCACACACTAAAGAATTTCGTTACCCTGTTTGGTTCACCTGAACACATTTTAATAGCTAAAATAATCTTGTTGATCTTTTCACTTTATTCTTTGTATTACTCCACTATTTACCTGAATGAGTCAAGCACATCTGCACAAAAGCCTGAACAAACATGTATATAGCAGATTTATTCATAATTGCCCAAACTTGTCGATTTTTCAGATTGTCTTATTTCACTTGGCAACATGCATTTAAGTTTTCTCCGTGTCTTTCCATGGCTTCATATAGCATTTGTTTTTATCACTGAATAATATTCCAATGCCTTGATGTACCATGGTTTATTTAAGCATTTACCTGCAGAAGGATTGCTTCCAAGTGTGGGCAGTTGTGAATAAATCTGCTGTACACCTTTGTGCAGATATGTCTAACTCATTTATGTTAATACCAAGGAGTGAGCTTGCTCTATCATGTGGTAAGGGTTTGTTTAGTTTTATAAAACACTGCCAAACTTTCTTCTAAAGTAGCTATAATATTTTACATTCCCAGCAGCAATGCGTGAGAGTTCCTGTTGCTTCACATCTGCATCACCGTTTGGTGTTGTCAGTGTTTTGGACTTCAGCCATCCTAGTAGGTGTGCAGTGGTATCTCCCACCGTTGCTTTAGTTTACAATCCTCTGATGACACGTAATGTGGAACATCTTTTCAAATGCTTACTTGTCATCTGTATATCTTTGGTGATGTGTCTGTTAAGGTCTCTGGCTGACTTTTT